TCATTGTGATGATGACGGCAGTTTTTCTTTTTGGATTTTTGCGGTCAAGGTACTCAGAACGTAAAGGTAAGTGTGCAGACTCTTCGTGAAAATGTTAAGTATAGTGGCTTATGACTTTAACGACGCCATCACAGTGTTTATGTTGGCTTTCTTTCCAAACTGTGGGCTCCAAGGTAATTAACATAATTAATGTATGCGGTAGAATACACAAAAAGAGTAGCGAATCCAAAGCCTTAAGCTCCTCTCATAGCCAAGGCAACGTAAAAATTTTCACAAACGTGATGGTGCGCAGTCGTTATTACGTAAAGGAGTATTAAAATAGAAGACTTTTTTGATTTTGCGATGGTAAAATACGCCTTTTAACTCATATGCTGTGTCTCCTCTCAGGTGTAAATGATGTCTATTATGATACGGTGAAACCAAAAATTATCAGGAAAAGTCTTCGTCCGACGCTGAAAAATAGCGTCAATGGAAAAGAGGGAGGGAACAAGGGGCTGCAAGCAGCTCAGGAACACAGCGAATATGCCATGCTAGACACAAGTCGAATGCAGGTAAGAAATACGATAAGTGCATTTTAGCCAAATTTATCGATCTTCCCTCTCCTAAACAATGAAACAGCGATTTAAAAAACAGATTTCTTTCAGGTAAATTACAGCAGCACTGGTGGTAGTGTTGACTCTGCGAACCTAAATAACAAGAACATACGGATAGTATGAACTCTCCGAGGCGAAGGCTTAAATTTATCTCTACAATACACTACTGATAAGGAAATTTGAGCACTTGTCAATACAGTGTATATTCGTCTAACTGATACTGTTCATGCGGAGACGTTTAGTGCAATGGTCATGAACAGACTTACCGTGGAGTTCCACATTTTTTTACTGATGATGTGCCGCACTAAGTAAACTTTTTCTGTTCGTCTGTTTGTCTTTGAACAGGAAAATAGAGCACCTGTTTACACAGCTTTAAGGAAGTCAACAAGCGCGGATGGCCAAATGAAGAAAATGGAAGTCGAGTTCAAAACTTATCATAAGATGTCTACCTTAAGCCAAGATAGCACTATGCGTCCGAATTATGAGAATATTGGTTTCGTTTGAACATCTCTTATCCCGTTGCCGTAAGACCTAAACTATAACTTCCAATGGCATGTGCTGATTTTCTCCCTTAGTCATCAGTAAATAAATTCTGTTTCAGTTTTTTGGTTTGTACGAAATCGCTGCCATTACTTAGATACATTGCCTTATAGAGTAGAATAAGAAGAAAGAACGAAAAATGTATCCTCTCCTAACTCGACTTAAAATAACAAGGAAAACGAGATGTTTGCAATATATTGGTTTATAAAGCTTGTGCAAAATCTATAAAGCTTGTGCAAAATTTATAAGGCTTGAGCAAAATGCAAAAGTATCAATAGATACTAAAGACAAAAGTGCTCACCATTTGTGACTTGTTTTTCATAATCAGCAGCATTAGTAATACCAAACATAAAAAGAGATATAATGCAAATGTCGGTCAATAAAACATCCTGTAGATTATAGTTTAGCGCACATAAAGTCGCCGACATTGTTCATTAAAAGGCTGAAATCGAATTTTTTAATTGTGTTTAAGGAAGACAGCTGACGGAAATCTCAAAGTCTTCCCCCTATTTTTTCTTTCTTTTTTTCTTTTTTTTTATTTTCGATATGGCAAGACTTCCTAAATTTACATCTATGAACTACGTGACTCATTTTCCTAACAGAAAACTAACAACAACAGAAAACAAATGAAAACCGACTTTCATCCGCAACTTCTGTTGGTAAAATCAGCGACAATATCTTTATAACACCGGCAATTTTAGCAGACCAGGGATTACCTTAATAAAACTTTTATACTTTTATACACGTTGGACCGTGGTATTTACACATGCAGACGAAAACGAATTTGACAAACATCGTCTCAAGTCCAGGCTACACGTATCTGACTTGTAATTACACGTGTAAAATTAAAGCTACAACACTATTTTATTTTCTTTATTGCAGGTTAAAGATCAAATGCTTGCACGTTATAGTGCCCGGGAAAATCTTACTAGTTATTAAAGTTTCGCTTTTCGGAGGTAATCCGCTGATTGTTTAAGTAGTATCTTCCTTACTTAGTAACTTGTTGTTATCGCAACTTGTTTGTGTCGTTTGTGCGTCTGTGAGTGTGAGCATGAACAAATTAAGATTTAAAATCACTTGAAATCATTTATTGAATTTTCCTTAATTGATTTTCCTGTATAAAGCACTTCGTCTGAATAATCACGCGTGTATAGGTGACGTTGTATTCGTCGGGAAAACTGGCCACAAGGATTTCATTTGTGACGAGGCTGGGTAACTCGGTTATGTTTTTGACTTCATCAGGCGTTTACATTTCGTTTCTTTATAAGTATCAAAACTGCCAAATAAAATTTTTGAAGAACTCGATGATATGATTTACCATAGTGTTTCACACTCTTGAATTATTGTAACATTATTAATTGCCAAACCTATTCTGATTCAACTTAGTTACCGATTCTAGTCCTGCTCTTCCCAAATTAAGAGGGTTTTCCGCTCGCGAAATATTTCATTAAATTGTGGTTACGTACGTTGCAGTTGTAGTGACGGACTAATGCCAAGAGAAATTTTTTTTTTGGCGATGGCGATGATGTTATCTATAGCAGCAAAACCAGCGGTTTGTTTTGTGCTGCTATTGTAGAAGCAAAATGAAGCGCTTGGTTCATAGAAATAACTATGGAGAGTTTTGCCAATTGGCAAAAGAAAAAGTCTCTATTAGCTCTGTTCCATAAACGTCTGATAACATTTGGATTTCAACAATTACGAAAAGTGTCGACAATACCAGCGCTAAGTTTAGTTTGAGTCTATGAAGTATCACAAGGACTGCTATTTGCACTATATTTCTTTTCGCTATTAGTGTTATTAATATTACTGAAGAGAAACTCACCAATGGTAAGCACATTGTTTATAGAGTATGTAATCATACTTTGAATTTCCAAATTCGAATATGACTGACAACATATATATTTTTCGTTGTAAAAAAAAGAAAAAATTAATGAAGATAATCGAAACTGCACCCACACTAGATATGTATTTTTCAAGCGGGGATTTTCTCCAAGTACTTGATTTTTTTCATTGAAATTATTGTATGTTTGCATTCATTTGATAAGAATTAACGAACAGGATCGATAGATGGGCTAGGGATTAATTCCGAAAAGGATATTGGAATATGTAAACTTGATACCATACAAATCGGCGCTGAGGAACTTCAAGAAAAACGTTTTACTTTCTGTGCATTTGTAAAACCAGTGAAAGAGCCAAAAGATATATAATTTCATGTGGGAATAGTTTTAGCTTTAAATGAATTATAAATAATCCTCCTGTACCCGCGCGGGTGAGAATCGCTTGTAAGAGCGGAGACCGTGTAGCTTAGACAAGTTTAGTTAACTGTCAAAACCGCGAAAAATTCACATTGGCTAAATATCTAAAGAAAGGGGAAGAAAAATGCAAAATATATAA